GTGGTATACATTGCAATATATAAAATTTTATTCTGTCTCATTGTCTGAGTGCTCTTGAAGCAACTAAATAGCTCTTCTTTTTCTTACTTTAGCCCTTACTTGAAGCTATTCTGTATTGCCTCCTGTAATATTTTAAAGAATTTTCATTGCTTGACCTTGTTGGTAGATCTAAACTGTAGAATTTTAGTAATTCGCAATGGATTAGTGAAGCCGTTGCTCATGACTGGATAAATATTTTGATAGAATTTGTGCAACTTAATATTCAAAGTGATGGTGCATGGTGCTATAGCACATTAAAACTGTTTAGTCCCTATTGTATGCTCTGTACTACCGTGGGAGCTCTGTCTTCTACTTGGTATTTTGTAAAACTCTGCTCTCTTTAAATGTGCTAAAGATGGACCTTAAAACATGTTCCTGGGGAGCATGCAGCTCTAAAATGTTCAAGTTGATTCTAATGTAGCTTTTCAGACTTCTGTAAACAGAAATGACAGAGATAAGTTTCTGGTCAGCCCCACTTATTTGTGGTAATTTATAAACTGTCATAAGTACTTTCCTTTTCTACAAAGCTGTCCTTTTTTGGTTCATGTGAATTATTTCCGTAGTGTGAGCTAGTACATGAACAATTGCACTTACTACTCCAGTTGTGTGCACATGCTGCCATGATCTGAACTTAATCCTTTTCTTTTCACAGGTGGCTTTATTGAACCCTATAGAGAACCCCCAGTTGGAGCTGGCTATCGTCATGCTGATAGTTCCCTTCTTTGTTAACGTTAGTACAACTTCCGTACTTCTGAGATATTTACTTGGATATCTTTCTGCTGTGTGTTAATTAATTGTTAGTCCTTAAAGCACAGTGTATCTTCGTGCTTAAGTCAATTTTTAAAGAGGAAGAATGTTAAAGAATGGATAAAATGTCTGGATATGTAGATTTTACAAAGCTGAAATCCATATTGAGCTAAGTAACCAGGCTCAGGAGAGGTGCAGAAATGCCTCATAAACCTCTTTGGGCTGATGACTTCAGTAGAATGACTGTAATACTGAAATACTGACATAGAGATTATAAAATTACAGTGAAATTTGCTTTAGGAAACAGTTGGTCTAAGGATAGCTGTACTGTGAAGTATCCTGTGTCTGACCATAGCTAATAGTGTCTGGCCTATGATGGGGCAGAGGAAAAGGGCAAGTGCGCAATCATCTTTCCCAAAGTACACTCTTCCAGTAATCTGGGATTTAGGGACTAGAGCCAGAGATGGTGAGTGTCCTTGCATTTAATAACTGCTGGTGATTTTTTTTTTTTCACTAATTTGTTCAAGCATCGATTTTATCCTTTAAGAATCAAGTCTGTTTGCCTAAACCATTCACATTTCTACATGAAGAGTTAATATACAATCACTCTGAATAGCAGCTACTTTTTTTATTTTATTCTCTTCTAGAAAGAAATAAAGTAGCTGTGTTCTAGAGCATTCATGCAATGGGTAATAAATCATGTGACTGTATGCCTATACAAGATTTTGCCTGTTTGGCCAATTCAGAAATATTGTCAAGTTTTCCTAATTTTGTCCAAATACTGACAGAATGAACATATGGTACTCTGAGGAAAACTGAACTGTCACTTTCCCCTTCTCTTTAACAGGCATTAATGTTCTGGGTAGTAGATAATTTTCTTATGAAGAAAGGGAAGACAAAAGCTAAACTTGAAGAAAAGGAAGCAGGACAAGATTCAAGAAATGGAAGTAAAGTCCGATACAGGAGAGCAGCATCACATGAAGAGTCAGAGTCAGAAGTATGTAGAGTTAATTATTGCAATTAATGCAATATCAATCCAGTTCATCCCTCGTGCCATTGATTTCATTGTAACAGTGTCAACTTAGTTTCGATTTTCTTTGCATGTACCTCTAACAGTAGTTCGTAGCATCTGCAGTTGAAAACCAGTTAAGAAAAATGGCATTGTTGCACCACCTGTGGTAGTTAATTTCCTTCCAGATGAGCAGGAAGACATAATAATATATTTAAATATCACAGGTGAACAGTGTTATAAATGCTTCTAAAAAAAACCCACATGTAATACAAAACTAATAGATAATTCTAATTCAAAGAGATGTTAATAGCTTAAAGTGAGAGGAAGCTGGTGGAAGCAACTGGCCTGATTTTGGAGAAGTATTTATATCCTTGCCTTAATATAATTTAGAATAAAATTATGCTAAGTGGGCAGTTTTCAGTTCACCTGAAGGAGTGGTGGTATTTTTGAAGGTGAGTTGTTTTAGCTATAGTTGGTTAATGTAACTTTTCTGCATTATATACAGTACTATTTATTTGAGGTTTTCTTTAATAAAATGCCTGCCATATTACTGCTGTGGATAGAGAACTTACATATTCTTTCTCACTTTAACAACAGGCTGTCCCCACTGTTCTGGAGTTGCTGGAATCATTTTGGGATTAGAGTCAGTGATTGTACTAGAGATTAATACGCATGCATCCTTCTTTGAAATTTAGTGGAGGTTCCAGATAGGATGTGTGATGTTTTTTGATAGTACTGGCAGTAAATACAAATTATGTTCTGTAAGCTCTTTCTTGAGCAAATAATAAGATGCTTTGCAAGCATAAAAGAAGTAGAAGGTTAAAAGTAGAATAAAGAAAGAGTACTTCTGAGTAACAGGGATCAATTTCTTTTTAGATCCTTATTTCAGCAGATGATGAGATGGAGGAATCGGATGCTGAAGAGGACCTGCGTAGACTGACCAACTTAAAGCCTATTAAGAAAAAGAAGCATCGTTTTGGTCTGCCTGTATGACACATTCCCTGACCTGTGTATTTGCAGGTTTCAAGTCAAAAACTTCAGTCAGTGGGTTTTAATGTTGCAATTGCATCTCCCTTTTTGTACAAACTGACTTAAAAGCAAGGTCTACCAACAGAATGCAGACGGTTGGAAGACTTCCAGTTCAGTTGCACTACAGACACACTGACCAATTATGCAAGAATGTCTTTTCATCATGTGTGAAAAACGCAGCGTTGTTAAGGACTAGTTGCTAAGGGGATTTGTATCTGACGTTTCAGAGAAGACCATAGAAAACAGATACAGCAATTTCTCCCTTATGGTTACTGATGATACAGTTTAAGATGTTCTCAAGAAGGCATCAGAATCAATGAAGTTAAAGGAGTGTGTTTTATTACTAAAACTGGCTTTTGCAGCATAAGTCCTAGAGCAGAATAGTTTATGGTTACAAGCTGTAACTTAACGTTATTTTTTTAAATACAAATGTTTACTTGCTACCGGGTACCTATGGAACTAATAGGTGGAACAAAGATTTTTTTCCAAGTCTCCTCGAATCTATTTGACTATTTTATATTTAAGTTATATTTTCATACAGTTGTATTTAAAGATTCTCTTTGTCAGAGAAAAGGGTGCAGTTCCCTTTTTTTGTTCAGAACAGGTCAAAAGATTTGTAGTGAAAATCTTATTTATCCTTGTGTCCTGGTTTAAGACAAAGGAATTTCAAAGGAAAAAGTTCTCTGTCACTGCTGAAGTCACCAAATATCACTAAAAATGCAGTACTAAGTGTGCTTTTGACCACATAATTTGAAAGTACCTTTTTTAATAGGAGGTGGTGTTTGCATATTTGACAAACGTGCACTTTAGTGTCTAACAAAAAATCTGTCGTGATAGGTTACTTATTTGTGAAATTAATATCTATGGATGACTCTGATTATTTCTGTTTCTGCAAGTCTCTTGTGCGTACCTCTCAAATGACCCAAAAGAGATTGAACATTTCTTATACTTTTCCTTATATAGGGCCTGCCATACAGGACAGTGATCTGATTGAAGCAGTTGTGCTACAATATTGCAAATAATTCTGTCCCTTGTTTTGTGTTGGAAAAGCAATCTCTATTTAATGTGCTTTAAAAAAAAGATTTCTCCTGTTTAATTTCTGTGAAGTCTGCTTATCCTTTAATATTTAAGAAAAAAAAGACAACCAAGAGGTATAATACAGTTGTTACTACAGAATTTTTGTGATTTTCAGTGTCTGTCTTCTGATAATTGACAACACGTGCTGATCTGAAACCTAGCAGACATGTTTTCAGTGACATCTTTTTGCTTTGCATGTTTTCTAAATGATTGTTTCTGACAGCTTTCCTTTCTTAGTTAAACCTTATGCAGGACAAGGCAATGTGTCAAAGAGGTGAAAACAGACCTTATTTGCAAATCTGTTGTAGTAACTGGACATCAGAAATGTTCCAAGCCTTAAACCAAACAGTTTCATCGGAAAACTGCTCAGAACTTTTTAAGATTTTTTACATTTTTTATAGATTTACTAGGTCTTAATGTGATTTATTATCCAGACCACTTAAATGGGGTTCTTGGGCCTTAGTAAATACTGAACTGTGCGCTCCCGTACTTATTTTCACTATTCCAGCATTCCTTTTCACTGCCTGGCTGCCGAGGTGAACGTAATGTTCTAAGACTTCAGGTACACCTCAGCCTGTCCAGCCGGCTAGAAGGGACATTTTATCAAACCTAACGTTTGCAAGTTTAGTTGAGCCACTGACCTCTGTTACTGTGCACTGAAATGTAATAACTGCAATAAGTTTAAGTATTAGTGTTTCTTTTAGACTAAATCTAGACAGTAATGTCAACGGAGGCTTAATTGAGTTATTCTGAAATGGGGGGTGGGTGGATGGGGAAATGTCCCTAATCAGTGTTGCCTCTGTTTTCATTTTGTGTTTTGTTTTTTCGTTGATTGTGTGACTTGCATCCTCTCTTGACTCTTTACCACTGGGCGGGTGCATATCTCCAAAAGCACAGTACTTCAAGGAATTCATTTTCATCAACAGAATAGTCTCATACAGCTCACTTTTCCAAAGGGATTTAAGAGCTAGGACTGGCTCTTGTCACAAATGTCAGCATTTATTTTTTTAGCACAGGATTTGTTCTATTTCAGATAGTGAAATAAAGCTATTTGACATGTGCTACATACCACTGCACAGCCATCACTATCCTCAGCAGCCATCAGAGATAACTGAGCAGCGCACACAAATTTAACTGTATGAGCTTTCATTTTATCTTCCTTTTCCCTCCTTTTCTCTAGTTACTTAAATTATCAAAATTGTTCTTATTTCTAGTCTCATGTTTAGTCTGTGAGGTGTCAGTATAAAATTATGGCCTTAATCATGTAAACATTTGTTTTGAGCAGACCTCAAACTTACTGACCAAGTACAAAACAATATAAAGCACTATGGAGCAGTTTCTTGATGATGGTTATAGCGAAAGTATATGAATGCCTAATTTTTCCTGTCTTAAGTACTTAAATATCACTTGGTTTGAGATTTTGATATGTCTAGCAAGATGATGTAGTAAAGCACTATGAGCCAAAGAGACAGAAGTATTTTAAATACCACAGTAGTAACAGGAGGAACAGATCTTCTGAGGGGAAAAGACAGCTCTAACTTTCTCTACTAAGATAAAAATTCTATTCACAACCTTAGCCAAATAACAAAAACTGTTTGGTTTTTTTTTTGCTATTTATTCTTTGTTATCATGTGAAAGAGATGCAAAATATAAAATCTGCAGTTTCCTCTTTGTAAGATAAAAATTGGAATTCTTGCAGTAGGTACAAGTAGGTCAAGCGCTCTTGTCTGAAGAGCTTGTGTGTGTGAGAAGGAAGTATGTGCCTAGTGCTTCACTATGTCTTACTGTTCGTTGAACTGTATTGGCAGTACAGTCTGAAATAATAAATTTTTCATAGAGAGCTGATCCAGTAAATATTACAACATAGTGACGTTTGCTATTATCCTCCAATTGGCTCTCTAAATTTGTACCTGGTAAACATACTTCAGGACAACTCATAGCAAAGGTTTAACTCAGGCTGTGCTTAAAAAAATGTTTCTGTTTAATGAAAATAAGCTATGTAGTATATGCCAAAGTAAGAGAAAGGGATTGTAACAGAAGTATTGACACGGAAGTATTGGCGGAGATTGAGTTTACCATGAACGGTCAACCTAAATGTATTAACTCTTTCTGGTATCTGACCTGTGACACATCTGCATAAATTTAAAATACTGGTGGTGTCTAATATGTGGTTTTCAAGTTCTGGCTTTAATATGTTCAGGTCCCCCTGTCTTACTTTAAGTAGGTAAATGCTGTATGTTAATGTTGCTAACTAAAATGTACTATAGCTTTTCTTCAGGGAAAACTCAGAAATTGAGTTGCAAATTAGAGCAATGCAAAGTGATCCCCTCCCAGGTGTCTGCTCAATTCCAGCTGTGCCTGGGGAGGGAGGCATGGGCTCTCGTGCTCTGCTGAGAGCTGAGCATCACAAGGAATTTCTGCCACTGTGCTTGACTAACCCATGTTTGCAACTTTGCTGTGCTTTTTATGGGAGAAACCAGTAATGAAAGTGAATAAATTCAGCCACATCAAGTCAGAGTAGATCTACAGCATAGGCGTGCAAACTTTTTTAGGTAAAGTTTCCAGTTCAATTACTGAATATGACTACTATGGTTTTACAAAGTAAAACTGCAGTATCTTTAAAAAAGGGACTCTTTTGTAGGTGTTTTTGTCTTGCGTGGGTATCCATCTCAAACTGAATGTTGGGTTTGTTTATAAGTAAATTCAGAGTATAGCCTATGTGAGCAAAACCAACAGCTGTATTCTGCTGCCCTCTGTTTGGACCATATTGTTTAATCAGTGGTGTTACCTTAAACTTTTAAGGGTATCTGATGTAATTACATTGTATAATGGTTTACAATAAAGTTTGACTTATTACAGATTTGTACACTTGTTTTATACTTGTTCTGTTTAAAAGTGCGTGCATTTCAGTGTTTATAGTGTGCCGTTTTGGGGAGCAGGTTTTGCTACTGCAGTTTAACTTCAGAACTGCAAATCTAACTTTTTGCACTCTCATGTTGGTATTAATTTCAGTATATTCATTTACCTTAACAGCAAGTCCCATTTCACTGGGAGGGACCGCTATTCTTAAGTAGCAAATTTTTGTTTATGACTAAGAATCCTTGCAAGCTCTTCTCGAATCTGTTCCTTGAGGAGGGTGTTTGCCCTCTGCTTGTGCACACATGGAGAATAACCATCTATATTGTCATATTGAAAATAAAACCTTTGATATGCAACCTGAGAACTCCCGAGATTGCAGAACATTAACCTGAGGCCTTCTGGAGTGTAGGGTGTTGTTAAAGTGCTTTAACCACGCAGCTGATTATCACAGCCTGCTTTGGGCTTTTCAAGCAAAGCCAGACCTTTTGGTTGTTGGCAACAACAACGTGCAAACTTAGGAATTTCTGAATTTACCCCCAATGTCCTGCCCCTTGGCAGAGTCATGGCCTAATTCAATAACTTGTTAACCTGTTTTACCTTCTGTTCCACTTCTGATTTGTTTGTAGTAGGTAGTAGAAATGCAAGCTGAGGGACATCTGAGGATCCTGTTGAGAAGTTTGCTTGTGCAGTGCCTTGTATCACAGAACTCGTGTAGTACCTCCTCCAAGACAGGGAAGGGACACGTGGGGATGTCTAGTTCTAGGACCAAGCAGCCTCTCTGTCCCCTGTCTCCAGAGGGTAACATGCTGGAGATAACCAGTATCTTCCTTGCTTACTTTAGTCTCTGCTACTTCCCAAAACCAGGGGAAGGGGGAAGCAGTGCTGATTCTTTTCTGTCTGACGAAGCCATCAGTCCTACATGCTATCTATGTAGTGCAGAGTTCTCTCTTAAGCTCCAGGGAAGCAGCTTCTTTGGTTACCAAAGTGTCAGCAGCAAGTACTTGGACTTCCTTCTTATACCCAACAAA